GCACACTTGAAAATAATGTGTATTCTACTTTTTTTGAATGTAGTGTCCTGTAGACATCAATTAAGTCTAACTGATCTATTGGGTCATATAGAACCTCTGTTGCCTTATTGATTTTCTGTCTGGATGATTTGTCCATTGATGTCAATGGGGCGTTAAAATCTCCTACTATTATTGTATTATTGTCAGTTTCTCCCTCTGCATCTGTTAGTATTTGCTTTAAATATTTAGGTGCTCCAACATTGGGTGTGTATATGTTAATGTGTGTAATATCCCCTTTCTGTATTGATCTTTTTATCATTATATAATGTCCTTCTTTGTCTTTCTTTATGCCCTGTTTTAAAGCTTATGTTAATAGATATGAATATTGCTACCCCCACTTTCCTGTTGCTTCCATTTGCATGCAATACCTTTTTCTATCCCTTCACTTTCAGTCTGTATGTGTCCTTTGCCTTGAAGTGAGTCTCTTGAATGCAGCATATTGCAGGTTCTCTTTTTTTTTTTTATCCTATAAGCCACCCTATGTCTTTTGATCAGAGCATTTAGTCCATTGACAGTTAAAGTAATTATTGATAGGTATGTACTTATTGCTGTTTTAATTTTTGGTTTCCAGTTGTTTTTGTAGCTCTTTGTTCATTTTTCTTTTTGCTTTTCCTTTTGTGATTTGATGGTTTTCTTTTGTAGTATGCTTGAGTCCCTTTCTTTTTGGCTTTTGTGAATCTATTGTATGTTTTTGATTTGTGGTTACCATGGAGTTCATGTATGTTGACCCATAATATGTCTACTTGCTTTAAACTGACAATCATTCAAGTTCAAATATATTCTAAAAGGTCTACCTTTTCTACTCCCCTCCCCCACACTTTGTGATTTTGATGTCCTATTTTACATCTTCATATTCTCTTACATCCTCTTTTACTGCTTATTATCATTATACTTGCTTTTATAATTCTTTTATTGTTTTTAGTGTATGTACTATCTTATTTAATTGATCTTCACTACTGATTATATATTTGCCTTTCCTCTGTGATTTTTTTCCTTTCCTATAGATTCTTGTTTTTTTTCTACTTAAAGAAGATCCTTCATTATTTCTTTTAAGGTAGGTTTAGTATTGCTGAATTCTTTTAGTTTTTGCTTGTCTGAGAAATTCTTTATCTCTCCTTTTATTCTAAATGATAATCTTGCTGGGTAGAGTATCCTAGGTTGCAGATTTTCCCTTTCAGGACTTGAAATATATCATGACACTCCCTTCTGGCCTGCAAAGTTTCTGCAGAGAAATCAGTTGAAAACTTATGTGGATTCCCTTTTATCTGACCCTTTGTTTTTCTCTTGCTGCCATAAGAATCCTCTCTTTATCTTTAACATTTGCCATTTTAATTATGATGCCTTACTGTAGGTCTGTTTGGGTTCATCTTTTTTGGGACGCTTGGCTCTTTCTGTATCTGGATATCTGTTTCCTTCCTTAGGTTTGGGAAGTTTTCAGCCTTAATTTCTTCAACTACATTTTTGATCTTCTCTCTCTCTTCTCCTTCTGGAACTCATACCATGCATAAAATGGTTTGCTTTATATTTTCCCATAGACCTTATGTTGGTTTCATTTCTTATTGTTTTTTCTGTCTGCTCTTCTGATTGGGTGGTTTCCATTATTTTATCTTCCAGGTCACTTATTCGTTCTTCTGTCTCATTTAATTGGCTATTTATTACTTCTAGACTGCTTTCTTTTACTTTTTCTTTTTCTTTTTTTGAAGTATAGTTGATTTACAATGTTGAGTTAGTTGCATGTGTACAGCAAAGTAATTCGGTTATATAGAGAGAGATAGATATATAGATATATCAATATATCCTTTTTTATATTCTTTCCATTATAGGTTATTACAAGATGTTGAATATAGTTCCCTGTGAAGATTGCTTTTTATCTCTGAAACTGAATTATCTATTTTTGATTGATTCATCTGTATAACTTTTATTTCCTTGTTACAGTTATCTGTGTTTATATCAATAATCTTTCTTAACTTAGTTAGCATTTTTATTCCCACCTCTTTGAAATCTGGGTCTGTTGAACCAGTAAAGTCTGTTTCATTATATGTTCTTTGGGGGTGGGGGTGTCTCTTCCTCTTTTAATTGGGAGTAGTTCCTCTGCCTTTTTATTTTATTTAACTTCTTCTGTCTCTATGAATTTGGGAGAAACAGTTGTCTATTGTGGTCTTGAAGGGGTGTTTTTGTGTGGGAGCATCATTGTACAGACTGTGTGTTTCTAATAGCTTTGGTGGTAGGGCTGGTTTTGGTATGGAAACCAACTATATCTTTCCTCGGTGTGTGCTGGCTGTTATCTCCTTGATAGGGGGCGTGGTTTGTGTTGGGGGATTTAAAGCTTGTGTAGGATGTGAGGCAGGGCTTCTTCTCTGCTCTGTGGCTGTTACCATTCTGTCAGTGTCAGGGTCTTTTCCCCAGCTCTTGGGGTGGAAGCCCTGAGGGTCAGGTTCAATAAGGCTTCATTACCCTTAAGTGTGTGATTGCTGAAGCAAGTGAGGTCCATGCAGTCACAGCGAACATATGTGCCTCCCATGCAGGTGTCTGCAGTTCCACTCAGAAACAGGGAAAGCCCTGTTGTGTTCATCCCAGATCTAGTACAATGCTGTGGCCTGGGGGTCAGGGTGTTATTGCTGCAGGAATTGAAGTGGCTGTGCTGCCACCTGAGATCTGGGCTGCCTTGTGGCTGACTTCTCCCAGGACCTGTCTGCCCCAGATCCAGTGCTAAGCTGCCATGTGGAGTGAGCGGAGCTGGGTGCTCTTGCTGGGAGACAAACCACTGAGCACGTGGACAAGGGCCACCACTGCCCCCCCAGTACAAGCTGAACTCATTGTTAGACTTCCCAATGTCCTCAAAGTCCTCCTTATCATTCTTGACCAAAGGTTTCTCCTCCAGTTCCCCCTGTCTAATCCAGCCTTCACATTTCATCACTACAGTGGTATTTCTAAAAGGCAACTTTGATATCTGCTTAACTACTCAAAAATTGTGAGGAAAATATCAAACCCTTCATAATTTGACCCCTGTCTTAACTATGTCATTTCATTTGCTTCCACTTTCCTTCTTATGCTTCATTCTAAAACTTGCAAACTCCATGGGTTCCCTGAGTATGACATGCTTTTTGGCCTCCCTATTGTAGTATAAGTTGTTCTTTCCACCTGAAATGATCTTTGCTTGTCACCTGTAGGTGAACTGCTGTCATCAGCCAAGATTCAGTCTAGTTCAGTTGAGTAATTTAACTGACCACACACTAGCTCCTTGAGGGTAAGGATTGTGCTTTATTATCCTTGTGTCACCAATATCTAGCTCAGGGTCAGATAGTGAACTACATATGTATTTGATGATCTAAGCTAAATGTACAAAAACTTTTAGTAGACTCAGTTGTAAATTATTAACAGGAAGAAACGTTATAAAAGAAAGACATTCCTATTTTTAGTATTTAATTGAATTCTATTTTAACTGTTTTTAATGCCAACACTCAAACACCATCAATATTTTTATTTTGCTTCAATCCCAGTTAATTTTATTTAATTTCCTTCAACCATCCTACTTACAGAACCACTGAAATCCCTGATGGGAAGTCTTATTATCTCTGAAACACAAACCACCAATTACTTCATTAGATTATATATATATATAAAAGGTGGTATGTCTCAAAATCCTAATTCAGATTCTGGTGAGTTTTGAGAAAATGTTTACTTATCCTAGGACACACATCCCAAGGAATAAACTGATAAGATTTTAATAAAATATCAAAATGAAGTATTCAGCTGATTCCATACAAATCCCTACTTGAATAGTTATGTGAAACAAGCAGAAATAAAAGCCTCTGATACATAGAATTCTTTTTCCCAGGATAGCAGAATTATTTGCTATATAAACAATTATAACCAGACATAACAACTCTTTTGTTTTAAGTGTTAAGTACCAGAGTGAGGATATTTCTTAAAGTTTGTAAAAATTCTAGTTTTACAACTTCGTGAGAGAGCCACCACCTCTTGAGAAGGGAGCATTATAAAGTAATCAAGACATGCTTTCTTCCCTCTATTGAGCTGTCTTGAACGAATAAAGATAGATTCTAGGAACATCCTTTAATCTGGGGATACCATTCACAGTAGTCAGGAAGGGGGTCAAAATCCCCCTTCCTGTTCCCTGTTCCCCTTGGAGGGAGGAAATAAAAGCCAGTTGGGACTATTTATGAAGGAAACAGAACAATGAAAGAGAAAATGTGGATACAAGATTAGAGGCAGGATGAAAAGAGAAGCTAGCTGGCTGATAGCGCCCCTCAACTAAATCTTATTTGTCTGCACTGGCCCTTGTACTTCTGGGTTTTACCATTTCCTGTTTCTACTAAATCTCCCTACAGTTTCAGGCCTATTGAAACCCACGCTTTCACTATCTAACACGTGTCTGAACAAAGTAAGGAAGAGTATTTCTTTTAGACAACGATTTCACTTCAAGGAAATTTCAGGTCATTCACAATATGGTGATGGAAACATCCATTTCCTTCCCATCTCTTGGCCTTCCTACCCCTGGCCTTTGGCTCTTAGAAAAGTAAAGAGTTAGAGAAGCTCAGTTTGTTCCAAGCTGTGAGTCCCTCTCTAAGTCATATCTTGCATTTGGATGCCAAATTATTGTTACAAAGCACCTAGGCAAATACTTTGACTGCCTATGATCTTTTCTATTTCTAAAATTAATCTCCAAAATGTAGAATTTTGCTTTTTAAGTAAATTCTTCATGTCGAAAGGATATGTGAGTTAAAGGATTATACACACAATCTCAAAACACTACCCTTCCTTTGTTCTGGATTTGAACTCCCTATTGAGTCTCTGAGTTGCTCAATGCTGAAGGGCACATATGTATAATTAATGTGATAGTAAACAGACTATGTGGCGAAATGCAGCAGCAAAACACAACCCTCCTCTTACAAGTCCACGAACAGGCTTGTTTTAACTGTTTGCTTTGGGCTTTTCCACAGCTGTTCACATCACCCAGCCCAGGCTCAGTGGGATGGATGCCTTTGGATATACCTCGTTCCTGGCTTATTCACGGGTCCCAGACATCAGCTATGATTACGAGTTCCACTTGAAGTTTCAGCTGGCAAACAACCACTCAGCAGTGCAAGACAACTTGTTATTTTTCACTGGACAGAAGGGCCATGGTAAGATTACCTGAACCCTCTAGGGCTTGCTTAGGTATTTTGAACAATACTTGAGAGATTCCTCAGGGACTATGGCTGTGGGTGAGGCAGGTGCTTGCCTGGATCAGCCTCCTCCTTTCTGCTCCTCAAGCGTGTGCCTTGTCCAAGGTGTGCATCAGCCCTTGACCCCCAAGCCCTGTTCACATCAGGCCACCTCTTATAATCAGGGAATTGTAACTCCTGCCAGCAAACGTGAAGAAAGAGAAGCGGGCGAGTCACATGAGAAGTGAGCTTATCGACTGGTCCTGTCCTCTGTTTCTTTGCATTTCCACAGAGGAGAGAAGGGAAATTCTCAGAAGAAACACATTTTACCATGTGTCATGAAATGGGAATGGTTGCCCTCAAAGAAAACCATCCCAAATTAAAGGAGCAAGAATTTAAGAAAGTACTAGTCTGTAATCATGTACTCCAGTGCCCTTCAATTGGTGGGAAAGCAATTTATAAGCTAAATTTGTGTGTTAAGTAGAAACCAGTTATGCACACGTGGGATCAAGGAAAAGCATGTATGTTTTACTCCCAAGTCAACAACTAACTAGTTAAGCAATTAATCACCTATCTTCTCTGAGCTGGGGGTCCTCCACTGTGAAATCAAAATGTTACACCAGAAGATGACCTTTCTCATCATAAATTCTACAGTGCTAGGGCAGCTAAAGAATTCTGTCCTTTTCAATTCGCCCAATGCCTGTTTCTGTATTAACACGTGTCTGAAAGAAGCCCACACCCCAAGGGAAGGGTGGTGTGCAGCCTCGCCCCACCTCTGGGAGTACGAGGGCTGCTTTATCCCATGAGAACTCTCCTGCCTCTGAGCCCCATATGTGCTCTCCCTCCACACCCTTGGCGGGAGATGCCTGTCAGAGTGGTGAAGAGAGCAGGCTCTGGACCTGAAAGGTAAGTTTGGATCTGGTCTCCACCACTTACAAACTACACATCAAATTACTTAGTGTCCCTGTGCCTCAGTCTCCTCTCTGTTCAAACGAGTATAATGATGGTGATTCCCCATCAGAGCTGGGAGGACGAACATGGTTAAGACATGGACTCAGTAGCAGGGAGCACTGGACTTGTAACATCATTGCTTGTGTTGCTGCAGGAGGCCTTCTCCAGCCACCTCCACAAAAGCAGGTCTCACCTCACCCCAACCAAGTTATTCTCTACCTTAGCCTCTTGGTTACTTCCTTCAAAGCCCTTACCTCAATTTACAATTCATTTATCTATTTTGTAGATAGTTATCTATTATCATTTATCTATTTTGTTTCCTGTCTGCCTCTACTACGAGAATGGGATGTCTAGGTAGACAGAGACCAAGCCATCCTGTTACCGAACCAAACTCAGGTGTGCTCACCTGAGCACAGTAAAGCCAATCTACCGACACTGGGTGTGGTGAAGGAAAGTGCAGCGTTTATTGCAGGCGCCAAGCAAGGGGTCCAGGGCAGCTCATGCTTAAAAGGCACAAACTCCCTGAAGGCTTCGAGGGAAAGGTTTTAAAAGACAGGATAAGGGAGTGGGGGTGTGGGGTGTGTGATCAGCTTGTGGACCTTCTTCTGATTGGCTTGTGGTGAGGTAACTGGGAGTCAACATCATCCACCTTCTGATTCCACCTGGGGTCTTCGTGTTTGTGGGCAGCATGCAGTTAACTTCTTCCACCTGGTGAGGGTTTCCGTATCTGCAAAACAGCTCAAAGGACATGGCTCAGAATAGTATCTACAGCCCTGGAGGAGGAACTAAAGGTCCTTGACTTTGTTTAATGGCTAAACTATTATTACTTCGTCTTGCTTAACAGTTTTCCTTTCTTTCCACATTTCTCATTTCTCTGATTAAATTTATTCTTTAAGTAAAGTTTTTCTACGGACAAAAGGCTGGCAGAGGACATGGTGGGGTGGTGGGGCTCTGCCCTGGGATGGCCCCACAGGGTCCTGCTTGATTACAATCCTTCCTGAACTTTATACACCCACACTTAGCACACTGCCCGATACATAATCAGCACTGAATAAAATACCCACAATAAGCACAGACAATTGTATGTCATATAAGTCAGCAACTCAGTTACACAAAGGTTCTTAGAGTGGCCAGTCTCAGGGACTTGCAGTTCAGATGCCGTCTTCTCCGTAATGATTTCCCCATGGTTACTCTCTCCTTCCTCTGAGGGTTGCTGAGCTGCCCTGCACTTTGGGCATGGAGCCCTCATGACAGGCCTTGGTGGGCTACATTTCTCTCCTCATTCAGAGAAATGGTGTCCCGGTTATCACTGTATCACCCACAAAGCCTCCCTCAGGGGGGCTGTAATAAACATCTGTTGAATGACTGCCAGAAGTCAGGGAGGAAAGAAGGAAAAGAAGAAGGAATTCCTACCCTTAACTCTTTACTCTGCATACAATTATATCCTTCCCATTAGCAAAAAACAAACAAACTGGCAAATGAAAAATTCAAATGAGCATCACAAAGCTTGAGTCTGAGTCCTAAACGATTCACAGAGGAAGAACCCAAGCAAAAGATAAACATTTGGCCCATGAAAATGCTGCCACCAAATGCCTCTTCAATACTCTTCAGCTACAGATTCCTTCAAAATTCTCCAAACCAAAAAATGTAAAAGCATTGTCTTGGTCGCAGCACTTCTAAGGTATGAAATTTTACATGTTACACTTTCTGGTCTTCTCACATCTCTTTTGTGTGTAGGGAGATGAATGCTAATGCAGCACTTGCATCTGTAGGTTTACAGCATGGCTAAATAAAGGCTGGATAACTAGTAGATTAATTGTGGAGCTCTATCTGCCAATCAGTGAAAATGAAAACTCTGAAACATACAATTCCACATTGTACCACCAGAGAGAGCAAGAACACCAGCTAAGAAATGCAAGTCAGGCCAAAGAGCTTCTCAAGGGGGGATTTCTCCAGGTAGAACCTCTTCACACCTGTATCGGAATCACACGATGGTGCTTGTTAAAATATTAATTCACAGGCCCTCTTGAATTAAAATAATAGACTTTTATCAAGAACGTTAGGTGCTTTTCATGCAACTAATATTATAGAGCAACCATACAAAACCCCTAAGGACCAGCTAAATTAGACCATATGTGGGGACAGACTAAGATATGCAGTTATTGCTCATAATATCATAGGCAGGGAAGATTTTTCAATTTATGTAGCATAAAGTTATTGGTTAAATAAACACATATTCCTTTAAAATATATTATTATGATCAACATTAACCACACAATTTGCAATTTTCTGTTCTATATAAGAAACTAGGACCCAAGTTAGTGCTTCTAACAGTGGTATCTCCACATATAGGTATTATTGTATAGTAACATAAATCTCTGACCTGTGCTTTGGTTGTTACTAAAACCACATTTCACATGCTGCCTTTGTCTTTCTCAGGTTAAAAGATGCACAAAGCCACAGAGTTCGTATGATAACTTGAACTATAAGCCAATCTCTAATTTGGGACATGAAAAGGCGAGGGAACTTCTTCACTCCCCAACACGGGTGATGTTCTTCCTCGAGTCCCCAGAGCCAGACTCTGATTTTGCCAGACTTCATGCACATTGAACTCTGGACAAATTACCCTGTCAAACATTTCCGCTTGAAAATGTCTCTCTTGACGTAGGATTTTAACCTAACCTAAAACTCGTCCTGCCTTTCTGCAGTCATATTTGGCATTTCCTTCATTACCAATTCTTCCTTCGCTCCCTTATAACTTGTGTCTTATAGTTCAGCTCTTCTAAAAACCACCAGTCTGTCCCACATCGGTCCACAGAGGAATACCTGATCTTCCCCTCCCATATTCCTTCCACTGGCGACTGGTATAAACATTGTGCTTCCTCCAGAACCCAGGAGTCATCTGGATTTCTCCCTTCTATTCACTTTGACAGCTATTTACTGGGAGCCTAGATGAGGGATTCTTCCCCGTGCTGGAGATACAGTTGTGAATAAGTCAGACAAGGTCCTTGTCATCTTCTCTCCAGTTTATACCCCATGTTTTATAAAACACCAAGGTCTGTCCATTTTACCTTCCAATGACTTTTTCATCTTTCCTCCTTCTTCTTTCTTCCCTTCCTTGCTCCCAGTTTATCTATCACAGGCAGTCGCAGTAGCAATAATCTCCTTTCCAGGCTCCCTGCCCAGTACTGCCCTCTCCCTCTCTATTCTCCACATAGAAGTCTGAACGTATGCTGCCTAATCAACATGCTTCCTCATAACATACCACCTAAGATCCTTTGCATAACATGCACAGACATGTGTCCAGCCCCTGCCCATTTGCACAATCTCTTGTCCTTCATTCCGCCCTACACTCGGCAATATCAGCACACGTGTACATTCTGGGTCATGTCACTGTGTCATGTCACAGTGCCATGTCACTGGGTCATGTCATTGTGTCATTTCACTGCATCCTCCACCTTTGTGCTTTCACATAGGCTGTCCCAATCTTCCTGAGCCACGCACACTTCACTTTCATGCCTCAAAACCACTTCTATCCTTTAAGCCTCAGCTCAGAAAATTATCTTTAAGTCTTTAACACTTCCAGGAAATTTAAGAATTCATCTCACTGCAGCTTGCTGGGAACAGTTACCATATTTTATAACTGTTTGTCTGGATCTCTCTCAACCAGGGCTGTGGCTTTTCTTTTTTCTATCGACAGAGGCTGTCAAGTGTAGACACTCATTACAGTTTTGAAAGAATGAATACAAAAATCTCTGCCTCTGTTACACTAAAACTTATAAACAATTTAGGGAAGCACAACATAACGTACTTAAAATTTTGTGAACTTATCGTTAACTTAAAATTTGTTAAAATTTTATTAACAATACTAAACCAGAGGTCAGAAATTATGTCTGGTACACAAAGTATCCATCATGGTGTCTAATACTTGTCTGGAACATAGGCATCATTGAATGTAAAGAAGTACGTAAGTGATAGAAAAGATGGAGCTCAGAAAGTAGACATTTCATCCAACTAGAACAGTCAGG